GTGAAATCCTGGCCTCAGAACATGTTCTAAATTCTCAGACAAAGTCTTCTCCTTGTGACATGAGGGGAATTAAATTTCTTTATAAGAATAATACTTTTCGGCTTAAATTTAAGGGTCAAGTACAAGGGTTAAAAGTTAATGGAATGGAAAACTTTGAAAAAACTTTGTCAGATTATATTTTTAGAGAGCGTCCATCATTTATCGGAGGTGTTGGGGGGAGTGTGTGAAAAATGGCAAAAATGCATCTCTCCTGTAACTTTCCCCTTAATTAGTATGTCATTTTTTTTGGGACCGCCTCGTATTATTTCCAGTATGCGACCGATTTACCTTAGAAGAATCCAACGCGCGTAAACGTTCTGAAAATAGCGGTCGCCAGTCTCCATGCTTCTCGGACAATTCATCCCATAGGGTTCCCAACCTTAAAGAAATAAATCACATGGTCAAAGATCGCATTCAGAGTTTCCTTACACCTGAACGGTTTGTCTATGAAGTACTTACTTGGAGAGATAAGAGATCTTCAAGTCACGTATTTCTTCTTCTAGCTGTTGGGCAGGCTGAAATGATTTGCTACAAGCTTTAGCTCATGACTCTCAAGATTAGTAATACTAAACGCAGATGAATTCTCGAGACGAAATTAATCCAATAAGCGTTTTTAACATCACTCTCATTATAAAAGTACGACAGCCAGTCTGCAAGTTTTTACCTCTTTTTCTTGTTTGTTGTTGTTGGACTTGTTTGATTTGCTGGGTGAGATAGGAACGATGTATTCTATTGGATAATTATCCTACGAAAAGAAAAAAACATTTGTGATCAGTACTGCAATATGTAGTAGCAATGTCATATGACGATGATGGTGATGAAAATGGTGATGCTGATGAGTTATCATGGTTAATGATAATGCTGATACTGATGATGATTATGATGGTGATGAAGATGATTCTTTGTATAACGGTTGTGCATAACAAGACACATGAAATGAATACGACTCAAACAAAGTATCTTATTCTCAGGCGAATGACACGTGTCTGAAATAGTGAAACATTACGCCCAAGCGTATTTGTTGCATCCATTCAATAGAGCAAGTTTCTTACCACTTTCTTGCCGGGTTCATTCTTGAAGTACGTGATGGTACCTCGTAGTATATGGCCTGACTTGACGCCTTTGGGCAGCCTGAAAGATAAGCAACCACTTAACAACCTCTCAAGTTCTTTCTAGAAATGTCAATAAACGTTTTCAAAGTTCACTTCCCCCTTATTGGACTTTTGATTAAATATATCATATCTCGATCCTCTGAAAATATGCCTTTTAGTACAAGTTTATTATTGTTAAAATATTAATCATCTTTACGCAAAGAAAAGAAAAAAAGAAAACAAATCGAATGTTTGTGGAAAGAAACAATGCTTGCTTGAAACATTTAATATGGGGGAGCAAAAGGTGATGCTATATAACGATAATACCCTTGTATCGTTACTGCAGTCGGTTTTCGATATTCTGCAAACTCGGTAGTTACAAGCTAGACGCTGAAATATAATTTTTCGATGCTCTCAATCAAAAAAGGTAAGAGTAGAAAATAACCTTAGTTATTACGGCTTCATTTTCAAAATTTTCAGGGAGGCGGGGGCACTCATAGATTAGAAGTAGCTCATCCAATCAGAACGCGGCATTGATGATAGACCACTCGTTGGATTTGACTAATACTAATTACTCATAACTATAACGATTTCCTAGGTAAAAGAATGGGATGTCAAATAAATGATGTTTTACTCACTTTTCATCTGGTAATGGGGACACGAAAAATGGTACTTTGGAACCTTTTCCCATGGAAACCCCATTGCCTTTACTTCCACCGGTCATGGCTGCTAGGTGCGACTGGTGCACATCTAGGGATACTGTGAGGGTCAGCTTGGTCTCTATTAGAACCACCATGTCTTTGAGCTTTTCGAGTTGCTCCTTCTTGTCATGACGGATCTGAAATGTAAAAATTAGCAAATGTTACTATCGTACATTATCAAATTTAAGATGGCGATGATTATGATGGCGATGCATGGAGATAATTACTTGACTGACTGTGGTGATGACGATGATGTGGTGATTCAGTTTAGTGATGATGATGGCGGTGAATGGTGGTGGTAATGCTGGCGAAGGATGACGGTGAAGGATGCTGATGATGATAACGATGATGATGGTGGTGACGAAAGTGATAACGATGATGATGGTGGTGACGAAAGTGATGACGATGATGGTGGTGATGTTGACAAATACAATGGTGGTGATGAAAGTGGTGATGATAATGATGGTAGTAATGGTGGTGGTAATGATGGCGAAGGATGACGGTGAAGGATGCTGCTGATGATGACGATGATGATGATGATGAAAATGATCGTGGTGATGATGATGATGGTGGTGATGTTGACGATGTTGACAATTATAATGGTGTTAATGAAAGTGGTGATGATCATGATGGTAGTGATGATGGTAGTGATGGTGGAGGTGATCATCATCATCATCATCATTGTAAATAATAATAATAGTGATGATGAGCATGATGAGAATGATGATAGTGATGAAAGCAAACAATACTAGTGGTGAGTGAACTGTTTCATGTCGATGGTGATAAATCGCAGTGGTCACTAGAATGATGAAGATGATGACAATGGGGTTTATGACGATAAAACAATAATTGCGTTTTATAGGACACCTTATCAATAAGCAGTACCACATCGTACCAATAAAACCAGACATCATATAAATATCAATGATATAAATACCTGGAACTTGAGTGTATAGTCCCCCTTTTCTACTTTAGCCGTGTACTAAAAATAAACAAAAAAACGTCAGGTTTAAAGACATATTTTACCGCTAAAAATTTGCAATAATTGAGGCCAACAACAAAGGCAATTAATGCAAAAAATTCTTAATCATCTTGCGTTTAAAACCATATATTTTAGCACAGCGTAAATTTAAACTGCGACAATTTGAATAGCACTCTACCCAATTCCCTTAAATAATGCAGGGTCTATTTTTGAGAGAGCTTTAGATGTTTTTATAGCAATATACTCAACATTAAGCAGGTTCTTCAATCCAAAGGAGATTTTTTATCGTAAACTAAAAGAAATAACAAATGTTTAAGTTATTTCTTACTCTGTTTGGGAAAGCATCACCACAGTTCACTCTTCTTTTGTTGGAGTCGTAAAGCATCCAAAGCTGTGACTCGTACTCAGAATCGTAGAGTAGCTCACTCAGGTACACGGCATTGATCTGGATCTCTGCTGCTCGCGACTAGAATGCAAAAAATCTTAGTCTTTTCTAAAATGATGGTCAATGAACTTACTGTACTCAAGGTTGTGGGGTAAAGAGAGTAGCATCCACCAAGAGACTGGGTTGAGAAATAGCATGTCAGTCATATGATCTATTTGTTAAACATGGCGGCTATACCCTCTTCCAAGACTTCCTGTTGCAAGGATTAAATAAAGGCCTACTGTACTGAGGGGGGTGGGGTGGAGGAAGACTTCCCGTTGCAAGGATTAAATAAAGGCCTACTGTACTGAGGGGGGTGGGGTGGAGGAAGACTTCCCGTTGCAAGGATTAAATAAAGGCCTACTGTACTGAGGGGGGTGGGGTGGAGGAATGAGTAGCATCCACCAAGAAGGAGGAGGAGCGGTATTAGTGACTATACCTGAGAAAAGCTGTAAGTCAAGTCGAGTGCATATATTTGACCTCTCTTCGGCAAGACGTCCCTCGTCCCGAGAGGAAGAATCTTATATTCGTTGGGTCTGTAAATAAAAAAGAAGAGGAACAAGAAAATTATATTGTCATAATAACCAATTATGCCACAGCTTAAAAACTCCCTACGCGAAAAAAGAGGTCTTACGATCACTGAATAATAAATAGGCGCAAACGCTGTGGTAAAAATTGGGCGTGACACGTAAGCTTGTGGAAAGCAAACGGCTGGATTACACGTGGATTTAGACGAACGAGCAAGGAAGTTATTGGGAGATTTTTACCCAATCAAAAAACAGCATGAATAAGAAGTGGCAATCTTATATATGATTATATATCAAATATATATAGTCTATATATCTCGATGCGCAATGCATGATGGGATTTATAGACTGCGTTAGCGTGAAGATATCTCATGATTTATCGTATTAAAGGCTATTTAAGTACATTCTCCTAAGAACTACTGACCTGATTGGCTGGACGTGAGTCTTTAGGCTGACAGCCGGTGACACATCCTCAGTGCGTAACATGCTAGTGACGTCAACACGATTGATTTGGTTACTATGCTGTTTAGAAGAACAATCAAAATTATTAGTACAGATGTTTTTCTATTATCTCAAAGAGAATAAATAATAATAAAACATGGCGGCCCGGCATTTGGGTTGATATAACAAGAGACTCAAGGTAATAGGTCTTTCGCAACAAACAGTCACGTGCTGATATATGACTTTGTTAACGAATCAATTCAGCCAAAGATCCCTCGGAGAAGACTCTGCAGGATGGCACTAACAAACTTTAAAATGCTTCGTATCTTGAAATCAAAAGTATCTTATCAGGGAAAAAAAGTATTTTGAAAAAGGTTTTGGAATTGAAATTTGAATTTGAAATTTGCAGCCAGCAAAAATTATTTGAATAAAGAAAGTCCGAATTTTTTTTCCATCCAGTATCAGTCACACACATGATTACGTCCTACAAATGCCCTACTTTTTAGTTAAATTCATCTTATTTTGAATGACGAGCAGGTAAAAAGGCCCCCTATTACCATTGTGATAGAAGACTTGCTTGGCACAGCACCATGGAATTTAAGGGTTCTCTTCACCGTGCAGTCACTAAGACACGCCCACCAACGACCTAAGCATACTTCCAGCGTCAATCCACCCTAAAAGAAAAGATTCTCATTAAAGATCACGTGATATTATCACAGGAATCCCGGTCATGACATTTCTATTGCTAGATTTCACTTGACGTCATTTCCTGTATCGTGTACATCAGCTGAATCACAAGGTTTGTAGAATTCTTTCTAGTTGACAGCACATGGTGATCAGTTTGACCACCATTTGGAACAGATAATGAGATTTAAAGACTGTTATCAGGTGATTGAAACCCACCAATAGATTCTTCACTAGAAAATCGCAAAAAACCAGAGGTACTCTCAACTGAAGAAAGCATTAAAATGTAATGTTTTGATTTCCTAAAGACGTTTTACCTCAATTCTGAACGAGACTGTCTTCTCGCACTTCGGAACCAAAGTTACAAACTGACAAAACTCATGCGCCTTGTAGGAGTTCAGCGGTGACAGTTGTAGCGCATGCACCATGAACCTGCCATTAGTTTCATCATTTAATGACATCAAAGAAAGCTCTAAAAAACAGTATTTTTTAAAATGTTAAAAATCTGCTATACATTACATATTTCTATGCCATATTACTGAACAAAGTTGAAGGTCCGGCAGGCAGATTTTTACGAGGCTAGATAACCAGAAGTAAAAATACATTAAGATTCACTTCTGGTTGTTGGGTGTGCGATGACGAAAGAATGTTAGAGCTTCCTAATATGCCAAAATATTTATTTTAGAGAAGACGAGAGAGGATTGTCTCCATTGCCCATCCCCCTCCCCCCACAATTTCTCTTGTATCCCCCTTCATTCTATTGGGATTGTGTTTCTTGTTGTAAATCATTTGTTTTACCTTCTCCTTAAGAGCAAGCATTCTTAATATTATATATATATATATATATTATTTCTCTTACCAGCCCATGTAGCTCCTTCTGGTACATCAATGAACGTCCTATCAATCTGTCCTGGTTTGAACAACTTTTCGTCAACGTTCACCTCATAATGGACAGTGTCCGTGACCCTATCGATCAGGTAAGTAGTATTACTATCATTGGTTATCTAATATATTTATGATGATATCAAAATTAATAAATATCTTATGTATGGGCTACCTGTGTTGTTCACCACAGGGTACCCAACACAGCCAAACCAAGCTATACTACTTACTTGCGGGGCACGATGACTGTGACTGGAAATTTGAACAAAGGGCCTTTCGGTGGGCAAGCTACGTCATACGCACCGACCTGATTCAAAGACAAATATACAAGTGAGATTCGTATACCTCCCCTCCCCTCCCCAAACACTACTGCTATACAAGTTCTAATATATGAATCACGTATTACCTCAGCATAGTGGGCACCTTCTGAAAGCCCACGTGGATCAACCTTGACATTAAATGATCTTGCTGCCATGGAAACAAAACAGAGACGTCAATCAAAAGAAAAATGCTCAACTGAGTAATTCGACAGAAGTATCTTGATGGGTTACCTGTGTTCATGAGGACAAAGTGACTGGGACAGGAGACCCATGTGTCAGAGCTGATCAGGCATAAACGTAGGTTCAGATTTAATTTTAATTCATTTTCTAGAAACAGGAAAAAAGAGTTAGTTGAGCTGCAAAAATATAAAAAACCAACCAGTTTATGTCACTTTTGCGCTGTGGTTACGGTTACGGTATATATGCGGTATTTTGGGCTTCTTTCTCTAGCGTCCTCCATCTCAAAGCTACTGCAGTTGTTTCAGGCATAAGCCAGATCTCGCTTATGAAAAATTATCTGCTGTTTCTGCTACACAAAAGTATGGTACTTCTGATGGTACTTATTTTTATAAACGTTGCAGGAAAATGGAAAGCAAAATTATTGCATGCGCAAATTCCACGTTTGAGCTCAATACGACTTAGTATAGTTACGGCTACAATAAGATACAGTATGTCTATATTACGACCAGGAATGTGCCATAGTAGTTCCCCCCAAATAAAAACCGCTGTAATTGTGCTATGGTAAAAGCTGACTGCGGAAGGGAAGCCGGGTTAAACCATCTATGATGCAATAGTCATAAGCAGCCCTCGGGTACTGGTAACTGGGTCCATGTAAAACTGACAAAACGTAATTCCACTTCATCCAATCTCTCATAAGCGCACCAAAAGCCAGAGGTATAGTCGGGAGGGGGGCAAAACCCGTTTTCAGAATTTATCACGTGACTACTTAGATGTTTAGGTTTCTACTGTGTGAGGATGCGGGAGGGGGGAGGGAAGGGGGCCTGGCTACGCCCCTTGAAGCACTGGCGTGTAGTACTATTACCTACCTGTTTTCTCTGGAAAGAGAGGCGTAATACACACTGGAGCCAAGTAAGGTTTGCTTAATTGATGAGGGTCACGTAAATAAATACCACGCGCAGCTTGACAAGTGATCTAGAAACGAGTTTCAAAACGTTAAATTTTCTAAACACCACAAAAAAGAGAAAAAGAAAATACGCAAATAATGATCAGAGAATTATGAAGCTTTTTGAAGTGAGTATGAAATATGAAAGGTAATCAGTGTTGACGATGACGATAATGATGATGGCGATGATCATGAAGATGACGTCATGACGAAAATCATGATGATGATGATCATGAAGATGATCATTATGATAATGCTAAAACAAGGATGATTTTTTTCTATTTTATTTGGAAGATGGTGATGATGAGGATGACAATGATGATAATAGCGATGATGATGGCGATGAGTATGACAATCAAATGAAGAAGATGATGATGTTGAGTAATTCCATCTTTAATCAATATTTTCCAGTACAAAGTTTCAACTTTAAGTACCTGAAATCGAATATCTGTTTCGCCTTCATTCGAGTGTTGAGTCAGATACTCATACGCTTTATCAACCTGAACAACAATAATATTTTTTGATATATTGATTATTAACGTTACCTCAACTTCTAAATTAGTCCAACTGGATTTAGTCGGAGAAATTAGAAACACTTTTAGGAACCACTGAGGAAAATTAGGCGTGTTACATTTGTTTGACCAAAAAGCCGAAAAACCATAACCTATAGGGCGGCACATACCCATATAGCAAATATAGGGGAGTACCCCCCCCCCTCCCCCGGGAAAAATATGACCTGATTGTGTCCCATATCTGTTTCATACCCTTGGCACAATTCTTATTTTTACCTGTAATAATCCATTTCCTTGTGTGAAAACATCAAGTCCTACAGAATTGGGGAGGAAAAAACATCATTTAGTGTATTTTTAATTATCCATACTGTTACACAAATCAGTGAATAGACGCTATACTGAGTACTGCGCGAAGCGATCATTATAACTACTGTACCTTCTATTTTTAATGCTGATATTTCAAGTGCTCTTCGTATGCTACAACAAGAAAAGCAACATGGATTAGCCATTACAGACATGACAAAACTGTCCAATTGAACACCACATTTGATATGACTAGGGATCCCAAACGTCTTTGAGCCAATCAAAAGACAAAGAAAAGCACATCACCCAATTACAAAGCAGATTTCCTTTGAGTAGAAACTCTCAAATGGCTTACGCTCTGAACCAATCAAAATCCAGGGAAAAGCACACAAGCCAATCACAATGCTTACTTTGTACCCGGCTAGAAATATTGTTAGACTTTACAAGTACCTGTGAGCAGAATATGGGATGCCATTGGCTTTCATTCCTGATAAGACCAGTGCTGTAGAAAGAATCAATGCAATCAGTATGTCATTTTAAATAGTTTCTTCAGCATGGGAAGTCTGAACTTACGCACTCCCCCACATCAAATTTTATCAATATCCTGAAACAATCTCTGAACAGATCAAAGTCAGAACAGGGCTTACTCACAGACAGAACTGGAATTTAACAAGTTAGGTTTTATGGAGAGAGAAAACCTGGAAAAAAACCTTGAATCAAGGGAGAGACCCAACTATCTCTACTGACATGTGATGCTGGGTACAGGAATTGAACCCAAGTCCCATAAGGTGCTGAGAGGAAAGTGCATTGCTATGCCATCCAGCGGAATTTCTTCAAAGGTGATGGCCACGACCTACCAACATGCATTACACTTACTACTTACCCACTCCTCCACAGGCATTAGGTGAAGCCATGGAAGTGCCATTCATCAACTGTGATCCACGTAATGTCCATGTCGGGACTGCAGCTATGGCACCCCCTGGTGCTGTTATACTGACACCTAGATGACCATCGGGCCTGTTACCATGACAACAAACCAGAAATAAGCACCGTCAATAATAAGCAATAAAGATATGGACTTAATAAGGTGAGTCTAGCTACTCAACGTTTTTAATCGTATTTTCGTCAACACAAAAGTAGTTAAGGTAGCAGTCTACTTACGCTGGTCCCCTTGACGACCATGTATACTGGTTGCCTGGCAACTTCTCCAGGAGTGAATACTCAGCTGCCATCATGTCTGGTGAGACGTAAGCGCCGACGCCTTAAAAAAATAATAACCCAGCGTAAAAAAACTTGTCAATTTCTTGACATGAATCGCAACAAAAGCACGCGGCAACCTAAGTATTCAGTTATTAGTATATAGATAATTATTAGTTAACTGTAACATACCTATGACAGAATCAGTCATACCACCAGGAGAACCAACAGTGGACAGCCCAGGGCCATTATTGCCAGCACTTGTTACAAATACTACGCCATGTTCGTTTACTAGTTCATTCATTAGGTCAATCACTCGACTAAGAAAATGATTAATAGGATAAAATGGATGAAAAGGAATAAGAATAGGAAAAACAAAGGTGCCACTTCATTTTGAATTTCTAAAACAATAATTGCAAACAATATTTCTCTTAAAGAACTGGATGTGCCAATGGCTAACTAAAATATGATAATTGGTTCAATGAAAATGGAATTAGAATGAATGGGAATTGGTTAATTTTTATTATCTAATTTCCTTAATTCCTTAAAGAACTTTTGGTCAAATAGAATAAATGAGATGAAAAAATGGGATGAAGAAATGGGAAAACACACTTGGGCCATGCTCTACTTGATAAGCCACTAAAGGAACAGAACAAAGATATGGGATAGGTAGAATGAAAAAAATGGGATGAAAAAGGCAAAGATGGCTGGAAATGAAGAAATGAGGCAAAATATTACTGCCTTCTACTAACCCTGCATTGGGCCACTTCGCAGCTTCTCCATAACTCATGTTGATCATGTCGCACTTGAGTTCTATTGTTGCAATCAGCTATGAGAGAGAATGATATCATGTTTGGGTTAAAACACATAGAAAGAAAGATTGTATTGTGGAATTCAGTTTCTTAAATTAACAAAATAAATAGCACTACATACAAGAAACTATGAGCCATATTTACCCCTCGTATCATAGAACTGCCTGTTTCCATGGTATCAAGCCTGGAGTCGCCTATTTTCACTGAAACAATCTACAATAAAGAATATGATTTTTTTATGACTTTTTCAAGTGCAAATCTCATGTTACCAATTAAATCATATTTTGTTAGATGAAAGTCATACACTGTAATCTCTAACCTGAGCACCTGGTGCTACTCCAGTAAGGGCTGGGTCATCGGCAGAGTAACCAGCAGCTATACTTGCTACGTGGGTTCCATGAGTACCTTGGTTATACATATAAATACATATCTTTAACACAACTCATTCAAAAGTAGGGAAGTTCCTGACGTAGCAGAAGCATGGGTTCTATGAGTACCTTTATCACAGTCCAAGAAAAAATTATCTCATACCTCCATTTGTAACTATGCTTAGAGTATTGCCATCATCAAACACTGTGATGCTGTAATTTAGCAGATCTGAAAACAAGACACCCAGATCAATTAGCTGTGCCTTGACATTTATCAGTCTGAGGTTATTTGTTCAGGGTATACCTAATATTTGAAGGCTATTTTATCGATCTAAATTCCCTTGCAAATATAGATATACTCTTCAAACCCCTTGTTCTGACTGTTACTTACCTTCCTTGCCGAATGTTGCAAACTCTCCAGATTCTCTGAAGCTAGACAAGAGAGTACAACTTTGAAGATCACCATTTTCAGAGGTGTCAACACAAGCCCTAAAAGGAAAAACAAAATGAGACTTGGTTAAGTTGAAAATATTCTACATGGAAATAACTAATTTTTGCAGTTCCTTGCCTCCATGTTGTTCCATCATGGAAGACAATGCAGTCCAGCACTGAACCACAGTCACAGAACTTCTTCTCCAAGGTATTTAGAGCTTCTATTTTGGACTGTAATTCATCTGTCACCCATTTTTCCTCCTTTAAAACAGAATAGATTGATAATAAAAAACAATAAGATTATAAAACAGAATAGATTGATATTAAAAAACAATAAGATTTACAGAGAGAAATTACAAAACAATGTACAATATATATTGATGATGGTGGGGGGGATGGTAATGGTGATGATGATGATTATGGTGATGATGGAGATGATGATTTATATAAAGTATAATTTGATCTTTACTTTGGCTAAAGCCCAGGAGGACTCAAGAGGAACCAGTTTCCATATGAAATGTGTGTCCTCCTCCTCCCCCCCTCTCACCGTCCACACACACACAAACATACTACATTCAACTCACATSTTGATTTTTACAGAGGGAGGAAAACAGGAGAACCATGGGAAGAAACCCTTCCCTCGTGATGAACCTTACCAGAGTCTGATTTTTTTCAGGATGTTTAGCACTCCATTGTTCTAGTTCTCTTAAAGCATCAGCGCTACATTTCCTATGAAGAGGGTCCCAAAACTTTTCTTTTCTCTCTTTCTATAAATAACAATAACAACATTACATTAAAGATATATTAAAGTTACTGATTGTAATCTGTAAATGTTGTAAATGACCAACCTTTCTTCTTGATCTGAGCCTCTCTGGAAATAGGCTGAAGAGATTTTTTACTCCAACGTGGTATTTTCCAGTAGGATTTTCCCAGTGTTCTGGAATCTTTAACATCAGGTAATTTGTAAATGCATTGCACAAATCATGTCTCAAGTATAAGAGAGTATTGGCTTTTAAGAACTTAATATATATTTACATAGGCCGTCTGTCCTTTTCAATAGAGATTTGCACCATCGCATGATAGCAGCCAAGCCCCCCCAAAACCCACAAGGAATGCCTGGCTACGCAGGATGGGAATGAAATTCAATTCTTGAAAGCAAAAGAATTTTAATGTTCTGCCATCAAACCACAGGCAGTCCAAGCTGTATTATGGGCTCTGGCATGTGATGGTGCAAAACCTGTTGGCCACAACCATCTGATACAGCTGTTTACTATTTTTATGAGAGAGATATACCAGTGAATAAAAAAACAATGCATAACTTTATGGAAAACCATTCGACTGTTACTTACACAATATGGTCTCATATTTTGTAATAAAATAATAATCATAATAATAACTTTATTTAATGAAGGTATACAATTTATCGTAGATAATTTTCAATTGGCCTTCTAATTATAAAAACTAATTACAAATTAGAAATACTAATTTTGTGCGTTCTTGTCTATATTTATTATATTCTAATATTTATTTTGAATCTATATTCTCTGCAATTAATCTTCTTTGCTATTGCTGTTATCATTGTCATTGCATGTGTGATTTTTTTATCGTTTTACTCATATAATTTCACATTTTAAGGAGGCATTATTAAATGATATATATTTTAAATTATTAAGAACTATCTTGTTTGAAATCATGCCTGAAGACAAAGAGAAAATACCTAAAGAATGAGATAATATTCCCAGACAACAAACACCTACTTTCAGTTTACGGCCTGTGAGTCCAGTGAGACACCCATCTTTGACCTCACAGAGAGTAGACGTGTCCACATCACCACTACCAGAAGTGTCAATCAAGTCAACGATTTTTCTCCTTCCATCTGGCGTTTCCTGACAAATCAAGCAACAATTCTAAAGTGAGTATTTATCAAATTATCATTCCATTAGCTTGATTAGTTCAATTTATTTCGAGCTGAAACAACTCGCTTTATACAAAAAAGTTTAAAGAGAGTTTTCGTTTTGGTTTTTAATTTTACCTGCAAACCAGCTGCTGCCGGGTCAACACCGGTGTCAAAAATAGCAATCAATACTCCCCGTCCGTCATAATCGGGGTATTTAGCTAAGAATCGATCTGAGCCTGTCTCTCTTTTGGGTAAAAGACCATGAGTAGGAAATTCTTCTAAACTGACCGCCATCTTTGTTTGTTGTAACTAAAAATGCCGGCCGGCTGATGGACGATAGGGACTGGGGATAGCCTCGTTTTTACATAATTTTCTTTCATCCTTTTTTATTCATATAATTTTTACTCGTTTTATTAACTTCTGGTTTTTCTTTCTACAAAATGAATTATATTTGTTTTAAATATTTTTGTAAATTAAAAGTTTTTTTAGTAGATACGTTATTTGGTTCCAGTGATACTAAGATCACGGTCATAACGAGGAACGCCTGGTTAAAACGGGCTTCAAAGATGATGAGTCATTAAAAACCCTGGCAATGATTGTGAAAGTTTGCATCATTTTGGTGGCTTAGAAAAGGCCACGTATGCTTAAAGATATATATAAATAAACTTCAAGTGATAGCTCAAGAGTTTATTATCACTAACTGAAGGTAGGCTGAATACTCATTCGATCTAGGCGAAATCAAGTTTTGACAAGTCATGGATCAAAGACGCCATAATCGAGGAGGCATCGGATTACTTCTTCTTTTCACTCAATTGTACAACTTTGGATTCAATCGTATCCCTCCAGTAACTCTTGCATTTATCGCTGGAAATGTAGGGATCTATTTACGCCTTTTACCTAACATTCCTGGTCTGGGAGAAGCTTGTGTAAGTGCCCATCATGTGTGGTTCAACGGCGACTGGAAGCGGCTTATTTATGCATCGTTTTTTCACCTTGATGATTGGCATTTGTACTACAATATGGCGTCGTTTCTATGGAAGGGGAAAAGCCTGGAATCAAGCATGGGAAGTCAAATGTTTCTTTTCGTGTTGTCGGTATTTAGTGTCTTGACAAGTGCTGTTTTAGTTGGATTAGACGTTGCTCTTGCCAACGTACTTAACGACCCGTCTTACTTGTACACTTGCGCAGCGGGTTTTTCTGGTGTTATTTTTGCTCTCAATGTACTGACGACTTACGAGATTCCACATGAGACATCTATGGTTATGGGGATATTCCCCATTCCTATGAGATATGCATGCTGGGCAGAGCTTATCCTCATACAACTGCTCGTCCCTAATGCGTCATTCACTGGTCATTTAGCTGGGATAATTGTTGGTCTGTTGTATGTGAAGGGCCCTTTGAAGTCAGTCATGAATGGCATAGCAAGAATAGGTGAGAAAAATTTAAAAGAAAATTCAATTATTTTTTGTGCTAATAAACCTTAAATCGACTATATTCTCCAATGACTCTTTGGTTGTTGTTTTCTTTGAATAGCATTTGATGGAAGACGTTTTGGAGGATTTCGCCAATCTTACACATACCATGCAGCTCCAACAGGTAAAATTTCCGTCATCCCCTACCTTTCAGTTGGATTTTTACTTTGTCATTCTCCCCCCACCCCCACCATATACACACTCATACCTACCACCACTTCACACAGAAATTTTGATTCATCTTGACTGAGATATCATTCATTGCTTAGGAACAAGATATGTAGCTCCACAACCTAGAAGACCCCCTAATGACTCAGATGATGAGGAACTCCAAGCTGCCATCAGGGCCAGCCTTCGAGAAACTCACCATTCCCCTCCTCCCCAGAATCAAAGGTCTCGTATTCCTCGTCATGACTTACCTTATCCGACTCATAACGGAGAAAATGACCCAGTTTTCCAAGCTGCCCTCGCAGAAAGCCTCAGACAAAGGCAAGGTACTACCCAACAGAGTAATCACATCCCAGAAGCTATGCCCTATCCTCCTGGAGGGACAATGTCTCAATCTCCCGGTACAGTAGACGGCTCTTCTTTACTCCCGTCCTATGAAGAGGCCACAAACGAAAGGCTTTATCCAAGCCTACCAAATGATGGTTCACAAAATGCAAGACCAGCGACACCAAGTGCCCCACCACCACCACCTTATGATACACCGGTAACACCTCCTTATCCACAGCACGACACGATACCAACCCCTGATATCATTCGTCAAAGACGACTGAGAAGATTTGAACGATAAAGTTTTAAAATAATCGACAGAAAAATAGCAATTATTCACATGTACATTTTTTTTGAATAAAAAGTAGTAGTCATTGGATTAGTTCCAGCGTTTGAAGTGCGCGCGCGACAGGTTTTTCCCGCCAAAAGTAATCACTACCATGTGAAACACTATTGTCAGCCCGCTTTTTCGTTTAATCCCAATTATTTTTTTAAAAAAAAAGGAAAAGCATTTTTGTCATACTTGTTGAAATTCGATGTTAGAAAAAAGGCTTAACACTTTTCATTTTGGTCTCCAAGATAGAGATCTTGTTCAACTTCGTTGGACATATAAAAAATTAACAGCCAAATGATAAGAATGAGGGAATAATAAACAATAATAGGCCAGTTAGACATAGGAATACGGAATGTACACAGGATTTCTAGGCTTTACGCCACTGAACTTACAGTCAAATTGACACATTTTGAATCATTTCCACAAATGTAATACAAATGTGCCTTAGTCAAACGCTGGGCGAAATAGCAGAGATAATTGCTTAAATATGTAGGAACGAAAGTAATGACTTGTAATAAACGTTATCGCGCTCCAAGTTTAATTCTTTTTTTGCTCCCGTAGTGAAATGATGAATCTGTAAATGTCGGAGGAACACAATGAACCAAATGCTATATCGAGTTAGATTGAGAATTTGAATTGAGCGTCTTTTAAAATCCTATTGGCTTCGGCGAATATCCTTTTGCAAATAAAGTAATTTATATATCCTGTCATGACTGACATGATTAAGGATTCGATCTTCTCAAACAATCTTACCGCCGTCTTTTGTCTTATCTTGTGTATCTCTTCATTTCAAAAAAAAAATTATTCTAAAACAAAAATCGTAATCTTGAAGGTTTTGAAAATCCTTAATTACATAGCGTTATAGAGTTCATTTATGATCTTACAAACGTGCATCGTTTTTTTGTACAGCAAAACTAATAAAGAACCAATTTCCATGAAAATGCAGTCTGAAAAGTCGATAGGGATGGGGTATAAAACTGATAAAATAGAGAAATGAATTGCTCAGAGATATTACTAATGAATAACCAAAGCGTTATGAATGATAGAGGTATAATAATTGAGAGCAAGGGGCTTTGAATTGAGCACTGAATCAGTACTACTTTGGGGCAGTTCCCAATTTCTACATCAATAAAAGTTTGCAATTGAGCAAAGCTATTCGATTTCCGTTGACAAAAAAATGTAATGCTAAGTCATAAAATATTAAAGCAATTAAAAAAAGAACTGTACGTGAATAACAAATAAGTTTCCATTGTGATTAAGAAGAACCAATAGATTAAAGGGATCAGGAATTTTAAGACGTACTTATGAGGGAAATCTCGTGTAGTAAATTTTATAATTAAGAGAAAAATTCTCAGTCATTTCCAAGAGCTATTTTCAAAAGCTTTAAATAAAAAAGGTATACGTAACTGATAGATTTGCAAAAAAGTTTAATTCATGCGTGAACGATGCGGCAGGATTTAATCAATAAATTATCACCACAGAAAAGAGACAGAACTAATGACAATTTTGAACTGAGGCAGATTTTTTAATCTGCTTATACACTCGATGTAGCATACACTTAACATATAAATTGTGAAGCTTTTATTCAAATTTCCTGTCACATTTAAGAAGGTCTCTTAATCGAATAAACTCGCAGAACCTGGGCGCCTTTGAACATTTTTAAAAGCTATCGGCTTTCAACAAATAGGATTTTATATTTCTATAGCATAGTTTGCGGCAGGTACATTAAGATGACCCCGTTGCGAGACACGTAGAGTTCAGCATGAAAGAACTGATATCTAAAAAGGGTCTAGAGTCCAGTATGAATGGCCACATAGACTCATTTAAATAGCTACAAAAATATATCAAACTTGAAATAAGGTTATCCAATGAAACTCGGGAAACGTTCAGTGCAAATCTAGGAGTAAAGGAGATTACTGAGTTGATGAAAATAAAGGTAGTCCTTAATGCCGGTTTTATCATTTGTAAGACAACTCGTAATGAATTATTTATTGACGGAAATGTTATTAACTCTGTTATGCAGAAGACAATATTACTTTACAAATCCAACGAGACGGAATGGAATGTAAATTAAATTTAAAATTGAAATAACCAAATTTCAATCCCATTCTGTCCTAGCCAGTCAAACTCATGGATTTTTTGTTTTGGGTGATTGTCATATATATATACCGTACTTTACTATAGCCATAAAATTTTAATGAATGAGTATTGAAAGAAACGAAAAGCTGGTGGACTATTTAGACCGGGGTTAGAAACTACAACCAGACTAGCACAAGCCAACTGACTTCAAAGTGTTCTTTTTAACCCGTTGTTTTGGTTTTGAAGGGTCTCGAAGCCAAAAATGAGAAATTTAGCGACTTAAGTTAAGCAAGAAAATGAAGAAAATGACAACGAGAATCACTGAAATATTTTTGCAGCTAATTGTCATATCGGACGAGAAGATGGATTAAGGACAGTACAGTGTTACAGTGCATGGTTGTTATTTTGTACTGGCGGCCTAAATGTGAATTATTTCATTCGGGTTCAAGTAAAATGAGTGACAAAGAACGTGGGACAGAGATGCTACCAGTTCTTTTTGACGATCGTATCGTGATCAACGTGAGCGGAATGATTTTCGAAACGCGTGAGGAAACTTTAGCACGGTTTCCAAACTCACTCCTCGGTAGCCTTGGAAAAAGAAACACTTACTATATACCGGAGAGCAATGAATACTTCTTTAACCGAAATCGTATGGCTTTTGAAGCTATTTTATATTTTTATCAATCCCATGGACGACTAAGAAGGCCTTCTGAAGTACCGATGAGGATTTTTAAGCAAGAAATAGAGTTCTTTGAGCTCGGAGAGGACATTTTACACGATATGTTGATAAACGAGGGTTATATCGAGGAATCAAAGCCATCATTACCAACCAATTCACTACAGCGAAAACTGTGGGAGCTTTTTGAGCATCCAGATTCATCGCTGATTGCTACGATTCTCGTTCTTTTTTCTATTTTTATGATAGTTGCTGCGGTTTTAACGTCGATCATTGAATCGTCCGTAAAAAAGGGCTACTTAATGCAGACGTCTGAAGCCGAGAATCCTAACGATGCCTCGATGGGCGATAGAACCATTCGCATGACAATGGATCCTTGGTTTCTACTCGAAGTTATCTTCAACAGTTGGTTTACGCTCGAGTTTTTAATTCGCTTGTTTGCTTCGCCGGATAAATGCCAGTTTCTTACAGGATTGTTGAACATCGTAGATCTTGTGGCAGTTCTCCCATTCTACATTTCAATTGCTCTCGATAGCTCTAAGAGTAACTCTGTCACCGTCCTTCGAGTCTTAAGAATTATCCGTGTTTTTCGAATGTTTAAACTATCTCGATACTCCCGGAGTCTTCAAGTCATTGGATACTGCGTACGAGAGAGTATTCGAGAGCTTGGTCTACTAGTTCTCTGTCTATTCTTAAGCGTCGTCGTTACTTCAAGCCTCTTGTACTACGCTGAAGTTGGCCATAAAGGAACTAGCTTTACAAGCGTGCCAGAGACCTTCTGGTTTTCAATTCAGACTATTACTACTATAGGGTATGGAGATATGGTTCCTAAGACTGCCCTTGGTAAACTTCTCTCGGCAATTTGTGCCCTTTTTGGAGCGATTACTCTTGCGCTACCCGTTCTCACGTTTGTTTCAAATTTCAATAAACTTTACTATAAAAATATGAAAGATAATTTCTCTATTGAGGAGTCGTCTGAGGCCAGGAAGCCTTCGGGGACAGATATTGATTCTCAAACTTCGGTTATTGAAATCTCAGGCAAATCATGAAAGTACGAAATTCCGATTCTTCATTGAGAGAAGGATCGACTCTGGAGCCAGATAAACACCGTTGGAAAGAAAGAGTTAAGGAGGTGAAGATAATTATCAAACCACTGATAATAAAAAAATCTATATGATAATTGTGGATTGGCTTTAAAGCAAGAACACTCGCTCGCGAAGCTTAGAAAAATAAAGGAAATTCTTCAATTTCCTGGTCTCAGAAACAGCGAAAATCGTCGTAAGACTACGATATTATCATTATGCGTTTCAACCGCTCAGCGATTTTTTTCGTAAAAAGGCTATCGTTATATTTATTTTTTATGCAGACAGAAAAAGGGCCTGTTAACTGTTAAATTAGATAAATTTCATGGTTGAAAATTAAGTTAAAAAGCGAATAAATATCAATTAAATGGATTTATAAGCACTTGTTCAGTTTTTTCATTGTATATTTTTTGTGTTTCCTTTTTTTTTTAAAAAACTCCTGTAGTATAAAATCTGATGAGATTTTGGAGATTTTTTGTTTTATAGAAGCCTATTGTTTTTGTAGTCAAGCAAGTCGTCACCTTCCACGTTTTCAAGGCCGATATTTAGAAATGTCTGGAATCCCCTATTTTGCATTGAGAAATCATCTGTCAACACTGCGGTCGATTTGGCTGTCAATTTTTTATGCCACTCTAATAAATTCATTTTTCGATTTTGAATAGTAGTCATTTGGCGTTGATTATCGGCAGGTCATATTATTGTGTAGTTTGAGATTACCCTTTTTGAATACAATGGAAGAACCTGCATTTCTAAAAAAAATAACGCATTCGTTTGCATTTGATTTCCTTTTCTGATGAAAGTCATGCAAAACAACTCGCCAAAATGGGGAGTCTTGGCCTCCATTTCATATCTTTCGAATTTTTGATTATATGACTTCCATTGCTACCTTAATCATGCCGCTCAGACATTTCCTTTTAATTTAAAATTCCAAAGTAAACTTTTTGAATGGTTGTGCACAAAACTTGAGACAATGTGAATTTTTTATCGCAGTAGGAAATGTTAATTGTTTTGACCAAGTACAACCATCTTGAGTCTTTTATGGAAAATTTTGATTTGGCGTATTTTTGGGATGACTTTTTTGTCTGACTCAATATGCAAAACGATATGAAATTCGGTTTCCATAGAAACCTTGCGGATCTTTTACGAATACAGTGTGCAATGCGAACGAATTTTTTATTATTTAAGAAATGAGATAAAAAGAGTAGAATATGAAAATATATTAATTAGATGCCTAACACTAACGGAAAAAATACACTTTCAACAAAGATAAATATAAATACCAGAAAAGCTCTTTGTCAAGAATCTCTGATTGCACACAGCGAGGCTGAAGATGAATATCAAAATGAATAGTTAGCAATCAATTGAAAATAAAATTGAATCAATAGGTATTTGTAATCGGAGGAAGTTGTTTATATTAGGAAAAACTACATCATAGTTTTGTGGTCGGGAAGCTTGGATTATGTTAGGTAAGCTTAAAAGCTGCACAACATTAAAAAATATATTGAAACACTTTCCTTTAGAATAGTATTTACGAGATTATATGGAATGAAGGAAAAAATCGAAAAAATGTTGAATGTGCTGACGATTACAGCTGTCTGCTATCGAATTATAAATTGGCTAATTACATTAGAAAGCCACAGCCTCTTGGATTAGGGTTCGTGGGAGGTTGTGTTGATGAGTATTCGATTGTATACCACTTGAAGCACTTTTCCTAGTTTATAAACAACATGACTTTAAGGGAATTCTGGGCGGGAGAGAAGTCGAAGTAAAAATTTAAGATAAGGAATAAAAACAAAAAAACAAAAAACAAAAAAATGAATGAGAAGAAAGGAAAGTAGTACTGAAAGCAAGACGAAGGGAGAGAGAGAGAAGAAAATGGAGAGAACGGGGAACGAAACGAAAGAGAAGAAAAGAAAAAAACAAAGCGGGAAGAGTAACTGTATGGAATGGTAAAAGAAAATGGAAAAAAGAATGTCAAATCCGAGTATAATTAACTATAGTTTTCGTCATCGCATCTTTCTTAAGTCTTTCCTCAAAACCAAAATATAATAAAGGGAATTATTCATAACTTCATATACGCATTTCATTAAGACTATAAGCATTGAAAAAGTCGTTGTGGGTTGTTAAGTGTTAACTAAAGCCAAGAGCTTCTAATGACAAGGGCGTCAATCAGATGAAACTATAATTAGCATAAAGCATAAGACTGATAATCTAAATGCGTTAACATTCAATATATCTCGATAATTATATCTTTGAAATTCGGGAAAATTCTTGTTGTCATATTGGGCCATTAAACGATACACTTAAAATTATTAAAAACAAAAAAATTAATTTATCAAAACGAAAAAGTTAAAAGAAAGAACATTTTTTTTCTTTCTAATTTTTTGATAATTAACAGCTAGACTTAAAAAAGACTTACAAACTGTGATATTTAATAATTACGAAATATCAATATTAAAATCTATATATTTATTTGTTAACTCGGTGGCATTAATAATATTTTTGGCAAGTCGTGCAAGGGTACCTGGGATACTCCAGGGTGCGAGGGTACCTGGGATACATCGGGGTGCAAGGGTACTTGGGATACAAAGAGTGCAAGAATACCCTGTTACACATCAGGGCGCAATGATACTTGGGATACTCAATGGTGCAAGGGTGCTTGGGATACAAGACGCAGGGTTACCTGGGATACACCAGGCGCAATAAACCACGGAAAGTGGGATACAAAAGAACCTGTCTTGTCTCTTTCAATTGGGTTCTTATAAGCTATTTTCTTAAAGTAACTAGCTTATAAGAGCTTAATGTGAAGATTCAGGAAATGAACGGTATAAAGAAGACGACCCCGGCGAGATCTTGGCCGACTCCTAGACGTGCAAGAATTCCTTGGATATACCTGGTCCTTTCGACATGACAGGACCCAAAATGCACTTGATTCATGTCCCGCGCCTTGTGGAAGATCTCTCCTGTTTCTTTCAATTAAATTCTTACAAGCTATTTACATAAAGTAACTAGTTTAATTATGAGAACTTAGTGTGATGTAATTAAGGAAATTAAAAGAAGAAAAGAACAGAAAGAACAGAAAAGTTGACTACTTACTTTCTTTCCCGGACTGTATCATGTGACCACGTGAAGGAAAAAGCATTACCGGTCAGCGGAAATTGATAATGATTATAAAGAACGACATCACGATAATAGAACACTGCAATGTTCCAGTTATTCTCTACATTCCTATTCTTCGTACTCTTCGTTGCACCCAGCGAAAGTGCTTCCAAGCCTCACATTCTGTTCATTCTTGCCGATGATTTTGGTTGGAGTGATGTCGGCTTTCACGGATCCAAGATTCAGACTCCTAACATTGACAAGTTGGCATCTGAAGGAGTAATTCTTAACAATTACTATGTTCAGCCGATCTGTACCCCTACTAGAGGATCACTGTTGTCTGGACTCTATCCTATTCACTTGGGTATGTAGACAGGAGGTCTAACATGCAGCTGTCAGCCAGAAAGAATTGTATTTTAAAGATGCTTGATAATCAGCTGATGAACATGATGATTTGTGCATCAAACAAGAATGATGTCAAGCGAATAGAGTGCATTCAGTCAAACTGTTGAATAGTTAGATAAATGTATCTAACTTAGATAACTATTTAGTTGACGTCACCTAAAATAGTAAAAGCGCACCAAATAACGGTCATGCTAATCCGGGGGGTTGTTTTACCAGAGAATGAGTGAATAGACATTCATTTGTATCATCGTTTCTCCCCCTGATCTCTGTAGCTGTTTACTCGTAGTTTCAAATTTA